GGTCAAGAAACATTGGTTTATAGTAGCTCTCAACTTGTTGCACCCGATAAGCATAATCTAGTGAAGTGAAGTTATTTCTGCATCAGAATCTGGAGTGGGAACATTTAGCCATGCGTGTTTTGCTTCCAGTATTATCTGTGAGACAGCAAAATCTCAGTTTAGCATACTCTGATGCAATGGACTTGGCACAAAGGAGTCCAGTTTTCCTCAGACCTATTAATATCAATTTGTGTAATAACGTTATTTCACAGACGATGCCTTTTACATAATGTGTGCAGTGATGTTGTGACACGTATGATACAGTTTGCATCATGTTTGAAACGGTCATTTGTTGTTTATACTGCTACTGAAAGTTGTGATGTAGATCAACATGTTTAAAAATATGAATCCCAAACCTATTTTTTTTTAACTTTTTTTCTGAGGTTTCCAGTATTTTAATCATAGTGTATATTACTGTATTCAGTCAGCATTCGAAACAAAATAATCACTCTGGTGATTTTCTCCAGAAAAATTAGTGAATATTTCTGGTGGATCGGAACAAACAAAAAAAACCTTCTAGGGAAGATTACATTGTGTGTGTGTGTGTGTGTGTGTGTGTGTGTGTGTATGTGTATTAAAGTTGTTATATCAGCTATCACTGAATTTTCTCAGTGGTTTGCATAAAACTAATAGTATAAGCTTTCATATATTGCCAAGTGTGTGACCTTTTATCAAGTGTGCATGTATATACACATCTATTTATGAATGGGTAATTGTGGTGGTGACAGTAATTTGTGAAGTCAGAGGAAAATTGCATGTAGAAGGAAAAATGTTTCTTGGATATCTCCATATTTTATGAGATTCATGCTCATCTATTCTTTAATACAGAGATTAGCCAGTCTGGCTTATATATATAGCAGTGGAGTACTGATGACTATATCTTATCAGAAAGTGAATGGATGTATAAATTACAGGATGGCCTCATTTAGTGACTGCCTTCTTTAGTGACTGTTCAAAATTATGGCAGTGATGAAATGGTAAGTTTACGACCAATTCTCACATTTACAAACTTTTCAGGTCTGTAAAGCTAAGGAAATCTGAATCTTAGCTTCCTAAGCACAGTTCCAGTTTTACTTAGAGACAGGTTTACTTAACGAGTTGCCTGTCCCAGTTGTGGTTGCTAAAGGAGGACTAGCTGCATTGCTGTTAAAGTGTTTAAGTGATGATAGTAATATTCTGCAAGAGTAAAAGTGTAGGCTTAAATCTATTATCATGTTTGGTTCACTTTTCTGAATCGCCGGCCTGTTCTGTTCTTGCTGGTAAATAGCTGTTTTAACAAATAAGTAGCTGTGGATTTGAAATGTAGCAAAATAGAAATTTCTGAGCGCAGTACATTTGGATCGGTATTTCAGCTTTACTCATCTCTTAAGGATTTCTTTAGTTTTAAGAGTAGGAGATTTAGATACATATTTTTAGGTATCGACAAATTTTTACCTGAGCTTTTGTTAGGCAAGATTTAGTTACAATGGCCATCAAAAATGCAGTCTATATTACAGTGGCTTTCCACTCCTGCAAGATGCATTTCTTTTATGCTTGGCAAGCATGAGCTTATCCTGTAACAGAATTAAGGAGCCCGGTTCACTGTATAGACAATATTTCTGGCCATATGCAGTCCCTTTGTGCAAATTAAATTTTGCCCATTCTACTGTGGCAGGTCCTAGCCTAGAAAGCACCTGTTCTCAAAACTTAAAATGATAAACACGGTACTTTCCTTTCCCATAAACAAGTTTCTTCTCTTCTCTTCTCTTCTCTTCTCTTCTCTTCTCTTCTCTTCTCTTCTCTTCTCTTCTCTTCTCTTCTCTTCTCTTCTCTTCTCTTCTCTTCTCTTCTCTTCTCTTCCCTTCCCTTCCCTTCCCTTCCCTTCCCTTCCCTCATCCCCTTCCCTTCCCTCATCCCCTTCCCTCATCCCCTTCCCTCATCCCATCCCATCTCCTCTCCTCCTCTCCTCTCCTCTCCTCTCCCCCTCTCCTTCAAGCTCTGTTTCACAGTCTTTTTTAGCTGGCATAGTTTCAGTTCTGGAATGTGTGGAAGAAAGTTTCTAAAAATGTGCACACACATCTATAAAGATAGGAACCTGCTGCATATGCAGGGCTGGTGAATGCACACAAAATGAAGAGGTAAAGGATCAGAGGAAATAACCAGGTGCAAAAAAGATTGATTAAATAGATGAGAGAATCTCAATTAAGCAATTTACAAAGCAAACTTCCTATTATTGGTTACAACAAAAAAAATCTATCCACAGTTACAGGGAAGTGGCAGGAACGTGCTGAGGGAAAGACGAAGCAAGGAGCGTGGCCAGGGGAGAAAAAAAGTGGCTACGTGTGAAAAGCAGGTTTGCACATGCAGAAAACGAAAATGGAAATGCAATATTGGATAAGAATTTGAAGGGTGATCATGACGGATTCTTTAGAATTGTTTCAGAAAGCAGGAGAAGAAATAACGGCCCATGTTGAAATGGGCAGCCATAGAAATGGAACCAAACAAGCAAGCAAGCAAACAAACAAACAAATAAATAAATTTCAAGGGAATAAAAGAGTTTTGTTGGACATCAGAGAACAATTCCTAACAATAAAAGTTGTTTAACAATGAGCAACCTGTTAAATAGAAGCTGGGTGGCTGTGATAGTGAACTCCTGCACTACTCAGGAGGAGGGATTTGAAGGTCTCCTTCCAACCCTTATATTATAGGTGGTCCTTGGTTAACAATGGCAACCGGGATCAGAATTGTCATAAAATGTGATGTCACATGATCATGCCCCTTAGTGACGGCAATTCCAGCAGTCCTGCTTCTTGCGGTTAAGTGTGGGCTGCACAGTTATTAAGTGAAGACCTTGTGTGTCCATGAGTGTCAACTTCCTCCTGGCCTTCCCATTGACTTGCGTTTGTGGAAAGCTGGCAAGGAAGACCACAAATCAAAATCATGTGAACATGGGGATGCTGCGACGGCCAGAACTCTGAGGACCAGTCATAACCAGCCCTTGTTCAGTAACCTTTGCAAGTTTGAATGACGAATCGTTAAACAAGGATCACCTGTATATATGGTTCTAGAAAGCTTAAAAACTGACTGTTTTGTTTCCAATGAGTTGAGGTTATAGTGGGGCTGTTTTGATCTTGGAGCATTCTCAGAAGTTAGAACAACCCCAATTTCCATTCAAAAGACCTAATCTCATCAGCCCCCCCCCCTTTCTCTAGGAAGATCTCCTCAATAAGTGCACTTTTTAAAAAAAAAATAGCAAAAGAACAGTCAGCTCTCTTACTAAACTTTTATGTTTTAAAATGTTTTGATTTTCCAAATGAAAGCAGGTATTCTTATGGCGCCAATTTTGTTATCACTGTTATCTGCACGGAATGAATAGTTTCTCAGTAACTTGAAGATCTGGACCAGGGGTCTTCAAACTTGGCCCTTTTATGACTTGCGTGCCTGGCTGAGGAATTCTGGGAGTTGAAGTCCACAAGTCATAAAAGGGCCAAGTTTGAAGACCCCTGGCCTAGACCAGGGGTAGGCAACCTTGGCTCTTTTATGACTCGTGGACTTCAACTCCCAGAATTCCTGAGCCAGCCATACTGGCTCAGGAATTCTGGGAGTTGAAGTCCACGAGTCATAAAAGAGTCAAGGTTACCTACACCTGGCCTAGACTTTTGTTTGTACATACGTTGACATATCTTCATTTATTATACTTCACTTATTTTTGTGTAGAACGTGTGAAATGCATTATGCTTTGAAAGGATAAAAAAAAATTCAATCGGTAATAGCTGTTTTATACCCACACTAATATGCAATTTTAAATTATTTCCATTTAAATGAATTAACTATATTAATTTTGCTGTGTTCCAGTTTTGCTCCTAGGAATTGGAGCCACTGCATGGACTTTTAAGTTTTTCCATCTTCTCCCTGCCCATAACTGTTGTAGTAAGCTCAGTCTGTAGATCTATGAAGCTGAGCAGAGAATGGCAAGCCTACTTGCCTCCCTTTAATTTTTCTTTGGGGATGTAATTCAGTGCTGCACCGTCTGTTACAGATGCACTGGAGGGCAGTTATGGTTTTTATAACCACTTTTGTGACTAAATCTGTTATGGAAAATTAATTTAGAAGTTTGTGTTTCTATTTCTGAAACTTTGCGTTTAATTGGCTGGTGGCTTTTAAGGCTGGTTGAATAAAACCATGTTCAGTGTCAGGGTTTTTTTTCCCTCCAGTTGTTCTTTTCAGAAGTGAGTAAAGTATTGGAAAAGTGGGAGAGCGTTCCAAGACAAATATTTTTACATATGTGTGAAACCAGCAAAATGTAGTGAACTGTATGGTAGATGAAAGAATGGAATTTAACTCTACTAACAAATAAGTTGTCCCTCATTGAGACTTTTCAACCATTTCTCAACTTAACGCTATTTTGTGTAGTTATTATGCAGTTAATAAGGGTGGTCCACATGTATATTAGATTGGACATCTTGAAGGAAGGATCTTATTTAGAGATGCAATTTTCCAATTTTGCATTTCTTTGCAAAATTTCAGGTGTTCATACATGTATTTTCTTTTTTTACCTTTTAAATGACTGTGGAACTTACTTTGCTGCGGACAGGAGAGAGCTAAGATTGAGATGCTTGTCAGCCAGTATTGCCGCTCACTGAAACTCACAATGCATCAACGGAAGCTTTGTTGAAGAAAATTTCTGTTTTTGTTGTAAGAGCTGTCCAGCAGCTCTTAATCTTTGTTGAAACTGGGTCAAAATAAATTTTGTATGCTGGCTCTCTACCTAAACGCTCTTTGCTTGCAAATTATGAGGTGAAGTATAAAGTTTAAAGGCCAAGTAACCCTTTTTCGCCTCAGAACAGTATCTTAATCAAAACTCAACCAATGTTTCTCTTAGCCTCTTCAGTGATGTTTGTTTCATCTTCCTTCCTTCTCAGCTGGGGTTGACTTCCTTTCTAAAACCAACTCTGATGGGTGATTTCTCTGTTTCCTGTCAGGCATGGTCATTGTACGTAGTGAGAGTGGCCAGTTACTGATGATCCCTCAACATGCTTTGGCGCAAATGCAAGCCCAAGCCCATGCACAGTCTCAGTCTCAAACGACCATGACTCCTCGTCCTGCCACATCTACCAGTGCTTCTCCGGTCCAGCTTTCGACTGTGCAGGTCAGTTCCCTGAGAAATGTAAGTAAAATAATACCTTAAATTCTTCCTTACGTTGAAGGTATCAGTAATGGAATGTGAGAATGACCTCGGAAGACGGGGAGGAAAGATGCTACTTAAGGAATGGTCAGATAAAAGGGGGAGGAACCCACAATTAAATAGCGGGTGAAGAAAGAAACTTAGAAAGGATCCGCCCTGATTAATCAGGTGGTAAAAAGAGATGGCGGGAGATTTGTACTTTCAGACTTGATTCTGCTAAGGTAGTCTCTATAACAGTGGTTCTCAACCTGTGGGTCGGGACCCCATTTGGGGTCGATTGACCATTTCATGGGGGTTGCCAAGCAAGGCTGCCCGCCATTTCTTTTGTCCGCCATTTCTTTTGTCCGCCATTTTTTTCCCCTTTTCCGGCGGGTGCCTTACCTCCCTTGGGCTGGGCCAGCTGGTGGTCTGCCTGCTGCCGCTTGTCAGCTACGCCTCGGCCGGCGCAGGGGGCAGAACCACGCATGCGCGGCGCTCCCAGGCAGGGAAAGTCCTCAACTTACGACCGGTTGGGTAGTCCTCGACTTACGACCGGTTTAGTCCTCAACTTATGACCGGTTTAGTCCTCGACTTACGACCGGTTGGGGTCACGGCATTAAATAGGTTGAGAACCACTGCTCTATAATAAAGGAGAATTTGCTCATCTTGTTATATTTCCTATCTGGTCTACTTGGGAGGCTGACATTATTGGAGTTGGCTTTTTTCACTCTTTTGTTCTGCCTAGGAACCCCTGCCCTATGCCCTGTTTTTATCCTAGGATTTCCTGCAAAGTATATTCTCTGTGCTAGCCAGATGTAGCCCTGCCCTGCCCTATGATATTCAAGCGTTCTGCTTCTTGTCCTTCAGGAATCAAATCTTACATTTCCAGTAGTTTCATAAATGTGGGTTAAAAGATGTCCTGGAAAGCAAGCAGCTAATTGCTGGAATCTACCTGGGTTCCTTCTGCTAGAACAGTGTTTCTCAACCTTGACAATTTTAAGGCATGTGGACTTCAACTCCCAGAATTCCACAGCCAGCA